AGGAATTTCACATTTATTAGACATGCCAGCCTGAATGTAAACGAATCTATCCCCTCTCTGACTCACAGAGATCCCTCGGTCTCTCGGAGCCTCCGTTTTCTCCTCTGGTAAACGGGGCTAACAATACCCTCTTCCCCAGGATTGTCATGAGGGGGTGTGAAGATAACATATATGAAGGGTCTCGAGCAGCTTCTGGCAAATACTGTGAGCTCTGTAAACATTTACTGGATGTGGTGAGTCTGAGACGGGGGCATTGCCGGAAAGAATGTTTAGGGAAAAGAGGACCAAGGAGATACCGGGGTCTCTACGTGGGAGACTCCTGAGGATGCGGGGGGGCTGTGAAGGTGCACTTGAGGGGTAGCTTGGGGAGGTGGAGAGTGGGGGAAGGGGTATAGGGAGCGATGCTCAGGCTACCTGGGTGCCATCCCTAGCAAGGGGGCGTGTCTGTCTGGGTGGGCTGCTGCAGGGGGCTTGGGCAAGCTGACCTTCAGCAAGGTCAGGGCCCCAGGAGGTGGGAGTCAGGGACTGGGGGAGGAGGGATGTATGGCTGGGCTCTAGTTCTTCTGTTCATCTGCCTGGGGTGGGGGATGGGGGGGTCCCATCCTGGCAGGGGGTGGGCCCAGTGCCCAGAGGACTGGGGGCTTGTGGGCGTCCTGCCATGCTCTGCACTGTGCAGTTTTGCCTGGCAGAGAGAGAAAGGGTCCAACTCCAATCTAGATGTTGTGTCTAAGGGGTGGGCAGAGCCATGGAGGGCAGAGGACTTGCCCAGGGTCATGCAGTTAGACTAGAGGTGTGTGTGTGTGTGTGTGTGTGTGTGTGTGTGTGTGCATGCGCACGCGTACACGTGGTTGTGGTTAAGCTTCCTATTGGAGTATAGTATCCAGAAACTGAACCCATCCATGCACCAGCAAACTGGATCAAGAAACAGAGCGTGATCCATCCCCAGAAGTGCCCTCAGGCCTCCTTCCACTCAATACTTTCCCAAGGACTCCAGGACTCTGACTCCTAATAGCACAGAGGAATGTTGCCTGGTTCTCTGACTTTATGAGAATGGAATCATACGGCAGGTGTTCCATTGCGTGCCCCCCTTTCTCTCGATAGTACATTTGTGAGATTCATCTGTCTCATGGTGTGTGGTTGCAGACGTTTGTTTTCACTGCTGCACAGCATCCATTGTGTAGATACGTCACAATATATTTATCCACTCTACCCCGGGGCGGACATTGGGCTATTTCCAATTTGGGGCGTTTGTGAATTGTGCTGCTGTGAACATTCCAGCACATGTCTGTGGTGGACACATATGGGCATCTCTGTTGGGTGCACCTGGGGGTGGAGTTGCCAGGTCTCCTGTGTGTTGTGACATTAGTTCTCAGACCAAGTGTTTTCAAGTCTTTTCACACCTCCCAGGCCCCTGTGCTGGAAGCTTTGTGCCTGGAATATGGAAGTAAAGGCCATGAGGAGGAACTAGACAAGGAGGGAGCCCTCTGAGAACCCCTGGGAACTGACCCCAGTTCGGTTCACATCCCAGGTCCCATTGTCCCCTCAATTTTTTTCATGCCCTTGGATTAAGTGGATTTGCTTGGACAGACCCAAAGCAGAGACTTGGAAAAGCCCTAAATTGACTTTGTGGGCTTAGAATCCTGATCCTGTAAGAGATGACCCCTCAAATGAGAGCCCCACCCTGGACCTGGGGTGGCCCTGCAGACAACCTAGGAGGTGCCAGCAGTTCTACCTTGGAGCCGCCCAGGGAAGGATGGGGTTGGAAGTGGGGGGCGGTTGGGAAGGGGTCTGGGGTCACAGTGGGGGTTGGATGTTGGATAATGTTTGTTCTGGGGGTCTGTGAAGCCCCAAGGCAGAGGCAGGAGAAGGAAACCCACTAAGGGTTAGAAAATAGATTTAGAAAGAAAAATCCTCCATTGGTCAATAAAACTGTCTGAGCGCAAATAGGGAAATAATCTCTCCTCTCCTTGCCTGTCAAGCCTGTGAAGACGTGGACATGGCTGGGGTGGGGGAGGGGCAGGGTGAAGGGTTTTCTCTAAAAAGCAGAGCGCTTGCCACAGCCTCTTACGGACTGTGGTCTCCCTGGGGAGGCTCTGGTTTCCCCTGTGGGCCAGTTCCTATTTTGTGATAAAGTTCTCTAGTTTGGGGATAAAAATGTGACAGACATCTCATTCTATATTCTGCACACTCATCTTAAGATTCAGGGGAGCAGTAGCCTGAGCAGAGAATCATAACTGGAAGGAGGGCTAGCCTAATTCCCTCGTGCTGCAGTTGGACCCAGCTTGGGCCTTGGGGGAGGATTTTTTTTTTAATATGCTCCCTCTGCAGTCCTCCCTCCCCACCCCAGTCCCTCCTCCTTGCCTCCTGCGTCTGCTTTCCTGCTCTTGTCCTAAAAGGAACTTGCTTCGCTCCTGACGAGAGGGGACTTGAACTTATGTCTGAGGCCTCCCTCCTGGGGTCGCCGCAGATCCCCCAGAGCCTGTGTGGCTGTTCCTGGCTCTCTGTCCTGTCTTGAAGTAGAGGTCAGAGGCCGTCTCCGGGGAGAGGGCTGCAGGCCACAGGTCCTCGCTTCAGCTACTTGTGTCTGCCCTGAGGTTCCGCCGTGGACTGGCCCTGCCAGGCGTCCCGGACCCTGGCCAGCCTTGGAACCTGGGGAATATCAGAGACCTAGTTCCCTGCTCTGTGGTTGGCTCTGGCCCTGGATCTCGGTGCTAAGGGGGCTTTTCTTCTCAGAGGCTGGCAGTGGATGGGTGAGCCAGGGCCTGCCCTTGTCTCCCACACTGCCCAGAGCTCCCGTGGCCTCAGCTGGTTTCCGCGTTGGCCGTGTGCAGAGACAAGTGTGCACACTCCTCCAGCTGTGCAAACACCAAGTCACAGCCCCCTCTCAAGTGCCTGGGAGGTCTCTTCTGTCTGGCAAGGTGGGGGCTCCTTCAGTTTCCAGGAACCAGTGGGAACGGGTGGCGGGTGGGGACAAGAAAGGGGACAAGGGCAGAGAGGAGAGAGAAACAGAGAGCACGTCTGGGGAGGGGATGGGGCCTCGGTGGGTGATAAAGCACCCCTGTCGATATATGTGAGGACCAGTTGTATCTCTCAGCATCCCAGCTTTCCTTATTTATATGGAAATATGGAGGGAACCTGTGTGACTTCTGAGATGTGTCACTGGGGCCTCATATTAAATACGTTTCAGTTTAGCCGCTGCTCAGAGCAGTGAGGTGACTCAGGGCAGGCACGTCAGGAACCCGCTCTGCTGATAGCCCTGGCCGGCGGTGGCATCCAGGGGGTACGTCATGCGGCCGAGCGGCTGGACTGGCTGTGTGTGGCCTGCTTCCCTCCTGGGACCCACCCCCTGCCTCGTCCAGGGCAGAAAATGTGCCTACGGGGGGGGGGGGGGGGTTGGTGGGGGCTGTCTCCTGAGGTCTCAGGAGCTCCTGGAGTCCTGCACCATCTGCAGACAATGGGAGTGGCCCCCGAACCCCAGACGCTGGGAGGGTATCTTCGTCCAGTCTGATGGAGGTGGCCTTATAGACCCATCTGAGATCTGTCTCCTTAGCCCCAGCCTATAAGCCCTCTGGTCTTCTGGGGTCCCTCTTTCTGTTGACTTTTTTTTTTTTTTTGCAGACAATGGGAGTGGCCCCCGAACCCCAGACGCTGGGAGGGTATCTTCGTCCAGTCTGATGGAGGTGGCCTTATAGACCCATCTGAGATCTGTCTCCTTAGCCCCAGCCTATAAGCCCTCTGGTCTTCTGGGGTCCCTCTTTCTGTTGACTTTTTTTTTTTTTTTCTTTTTGGCCGCACCATGTGGCATGCGGGATCTTAATTCCATGACCAGAGATCAAACCCATACCCCCTGCAGTGGAAGCTCGGAGTCCTAACCACTGGACTGCCAGGGAATTCCCTCTGTTGACATTCTTAAAGAATTGGCTTCATCCCTTGTATGAAGGGCAATCCAGAACCCCCAGATATCTCCAAATACTCTAGGGGGCTTATGTTTCCCTGGTCACCTCTTGCTCTGATCCCCTGCTTCTACTGAATTATCCTACTGGATGTCTCCCCTCCTGCCTCCTCTGTGTCCCCTACACTGACCTAGTGGGAAGGAAACCCTCCACAGGGGTGGGGGGATTTGGGGTGGGGGCTCGGACCACTGCTCAGCACAGCAAACAGATGACAATTCTCTTTTATCCCTGCCTTTCGCAGCCCCCCACCCTCCACGCTTCCCCACGGGTCATCCCTATGGCAGCAGAGCTTTCCCCATCCTGCTTAGCTCCTCTGGGTCGTTGTCCTGCCCCCTGCCCATGTCCTCAGGCCTTGTCCTCTCTCCTGGTCTCCTAGGCTGGGCTGGGAAACTCCAGTCTTCCTAGCTGAATATGCAGCGTCTGCTCGGGGTATCTAGATGAAGCTCTGGCCCACCCAGGGGTTTAGCAAAACAAAACAGAGCTCTCTCACTAAGGAGATTCTGACGGCTTTCACAGGAACACTTCTTTCCTTTTCTATTACCCTGATCTCTGGGGGCAATTAGGGGAAGAGCAGAAACAAGGGTCCCAGGCTGTAGACCACGGGGACGCTGAGGCCCAGAGAAGGACAGTGACATGCCCCTTCCCCCATCTAGTTGGGGCAGAGCAGGTCTGGAGTCAAGGCTTCCTGACTCCCACTTGGCCTCTCCTGGGCCACAGTGCTGCCCCCAGGCTCTGTCTGGCTCTTGGGGCCGCTGTAGCTCTAGGCCAGATCTTGCAGTTATTGGCTCCATCAGGTATTCTGAAGTTTTTCAAACAGTTGGGGTTGGGAGTGGGGCTGGGGTATGGTTGTCAGTGAGATCTTGGGAGGGGCACAGACAGTGAGCTCAGAGGGGAAAAGGAAGCTTGGGATGAGCCTGGAGAGAGGGCAGCCGTGTGACAGGGCAGGTGCCAGGCCTGAGGCATTGTGGGAATGCAGCGCCACCCCAGGAGCAGTGATGTGCCTCAGCACTGCTGGAGTGCTATGTCTCAGGTTCCAGCTGCCGCCCAGCCTCTGTGGTCCAGCTGGGCCTGAGTGCATGGCTGGGGGGCCTCTCAGGCTCTGGCCTGAGAATGTTCCCAACCATGGCCTCACTCTCCGTTTTTCATCCCACTCCTTTGGGGAAGGGGCCACCCCAGCCTGAGCTATGAGCGATCAGGGCAGCCCAGTGAGGCCGGCCAGGCTGTGCACTGCACAACTCCAGGACATCCATCAGGTGGCCCACAACATGAGCGGCTCCCCTGGGGCTGTGCAAAGTGCTGCCAGGACAAATCATCTGACGGGCTCCTATTTTTCTAGCTGAAATGAAGGGAACTCCCCTCTTGTTTTACTCTGTGCTCCACGCACTGGTTGAAAGCAAGATATTGCGTTTGAATGACGGGCTTTGGGGGTTGTCCTCAGGATGAGAGTGATTTGAAAGAGTCAACTGTTGTCCCCAGCTCTGTGGAGTTGAAAGAGAAGGAGCTATTTATGTCTTGCTTTTTGATTGACTAACCAATTGAGACCATGAGTGAGTCGGGAGGGGCCGAGTGGTGGGAGAGACCTCAGTTTTGCTTCATTTAACACTATGGTGAAATTTCCTGATCCCAACTGAAAAATTCATCCAGTTTTCTGAGGGGGAAGTGGGAAGACCATTAGCTCTTTCAGCTGCTCTGGTGTGAGGGGTTGGAGACAGTTCTTTCCTTCCTTCCTTCTGATGCCCAGTTTCCCCAGTACCCAGCCCCACTCTGTGTCTCTCCTCCACTTCCTCTGCTCTCCCCACCCTTGGCCCCCCCACCATTCATGCCCATCCTTTTCTTCAGAGCCAGGGATCCAGGCTCTCTGAGGAACCTGCAACTGCTCCCTGCTCTGGATTTGATGCTTGGCTGCGTCCCCCCACCGAGCTCCCCACGGCCTCCCATCTGACCTCAGGTGGGCTCAGCTGGCAGGGGAACCCAGCCAGGAGGTGAATTGGTGTGAGAAAGCGGTGGCAGTCACTGGAACGGGCCTGGTGCCAGGGGATATGGGGACAAGCAAAGTAGAAATGTCTCAAGCAGCTCTGGTGACATGCAGCCTCTCTAGGCCCCCCTCCTTGGCTCAGTCCCAGGCATGGAGCAGAGGAGACCGGCCCCCTTCTGCCCCCCTCCCCACTTCTCCCCTTGTCTCTGCCTCTGGTCCTCAGTGGCCAGCCATGGTCTCTCCTGCCCCGCTCCTGGCACCTTGACATTGGGTTGCAGACAGGGCCTGGTGTTACTGCCTTGGGTTTGGGACACTGAGGCTGAGAGCAGTATGACGACTCCCTTGGCCATATGGCCATGCAGGGGGTGCTGGCAGAGGCAGGTGAGAGGCCAGGTGTCCACCGTAGCCCCTCTGAGTCCTCTGGGCCCTGACCCTTTCTTTCCTGAGAAGCAGATGCTGTTGGTGCCCATGTCCTCAGCCCTCACGATTCCTGTCACATGCTGGAGATGGCTCTGCCACCCCATGGCAGGTGGAAAGTACCAGAACATGGCCGTCCTTGGGAGCAGCCCTTAAGCGGTGACTGGCGGGAGGTGGTGTGCACATGCCTGGCCCCCTCGCCCCCCGGGGGAGAGCTCTGAGGCCGGTTCCACACCTGCTGGTTTCCCCAGGTTGATGACATGCCCTCTCTGGGCTGCCTCCTCATCCCTGGGTCACCTCCCCACTTCCCTTCACCTCCCAAATAACGACTTGCCCTCAAACCCTTGTCTCAGGGTCTGATTCTGGGGAGCCCCACCCAAGGCACCCCCTGACACCCCCGCCCCTCCAGCAGCTTGGGGAGTCCCTGGGAGCATCTGTGTCCCCATGGATTCAGCTCATTAATTAAGAGTGACTCAGAGCTTGGCCCCTGGGGTTTGCAGGCAGCCCGGTTGGGGATTGCAGTGTCTGGAACCGAGCACCTATGGATGGTTTGGAGGCGCTGCTTAAAACCTTCACAAAATTTAATTAAAAAGGAAGGCAAGGGCTGCTCTCCCACACTGGCACGTGCGGCGCTAATGATCGGGAGTGATTAATAAGGAAATTGTGGAAAGTCTAGGGCTGGTTAATAGCATCTTGGCTGAAGCACCTCGTTTTCATTTAATTTTATTCTTCACACGGTCTCCCGGCCCCTCAACCCTGGAGTTGATCTCTGGGAACCCAAAGACCGGGTTGAGAGTCAGGACAAATTCACAGTGGTTTTTTCTAGGGTGGTGTCTGGGGGAGTGGGTGGGGATGGGAGGTGGCTGGGGCCCCGAACCCCTTGAACACGGGCTCACAATCTGTGCATCCGAGCTACGTGAAGAGCAAGCAGAATGCAGGGTCCTGGGCCCCATGCCCTAGAGATCTGAATTGGCAGATCTAGACAGCGAGGGCCCAGGAATCTGGACTTTAACAGCCTGGCCAGGAGATTCAGGTGCGGTGGATGGTTGACCACACTTTTAGAAACCCTGATTTACAGGTTCTGTCTGGAACTTGCTGTTAGGGGGTTTTGGGGTTCCTGTCCCACTACTGGGCCTTCCCTGTCTTCTCACAGACCTGAGATTATGTCTAAAGCCAGATTTTGCTGGTGACAAAAACTGAGGCCCAGAGAGGTTAAAAGGTCATCCCAATGTCACACAGCTGGTAGGGAGCAGGGTGGGCCCAGGCCTCTCTGGATTCCTGTCCTGCAGGGGTAGGGGGTGGGGCGGGCTCACTCTCCTGACCCCTCCCCTTCCCGAGAAGATGGGGGTGGGGCTGGGGTCTGAGCCACCCCACCAGACACCAGGTGGTCTCAGATGACCTCCGGGCTGCTTGGGCTGTGCCTGACTGCACCCACACTCTTCCTGCAGTGATGGGTGGGCCGGAGTCCCGCGGTGTCCTCCGCAAGATGAGTGACCTGTTGGAGCTGATGGTGAAGCGCATGGACACACTGGCCAGACTGGAGAACAGCAGTGAGCTGCATCGGGCTGCCGGCGACAGGCACTTCCCTGTGGACAGGTGAGGGGGCCCCGGGAGGGAGAGAGGCACCCCACTGTGTGCTGGGCTGGGGATTCGGCCTCAAAATGCATTTTATACACACACACACACACACACACACACACACACACACACACAAAATGCATAGTGTGTGGTTTTTATAAATCTTCCCTAAGTGGCTTCCCATTGTACATATGTTGCCCCTGCTTTTTTCACTCATGGTGGTGATTTTGAGCTCTGTCCACGTCGATGGGCATGTGTGGATATGCACTTGGTTGTGATGGTCATAGTGATCACCTGTCCTCCTCCTGTGGACATGGGCCGTCTTTTTTCAAATTTATTTATTAATTTTTGGCTGCATTGGGTCTTTGTTGCTGTGCGTAGGCTTTTTCTCTAGTTGCAGCGAGCAGGGGCTACTCTTTGTCATGGTGCGCGGGCTTCTCATTGCAGTGGCTTCTCTTGTCGTGGACCATGGGCTCTAGGCACGTGGGCTCAGTAGTTGTGGCACACGGGCTTAGTTGCTCCGTGGCATGTGGGATCTTCCCAGGCCAGGGCTCGAACCCATGTCCCCTGCATTGGCAGGCAGATTCTTAACCACTGCACCACCAGGGAAGCCCCGACATGGGCCATCTTTGCAAGCAGGATTTCCTGGTTTATTCATTCTAAATATTCCCCCACTGAGGCCAGAATGTGCAAAGTTCCCCAAGCTTTTGTGCTGCAGCCCCACGTGCCTCTGTGTAGTCCCAGGAACCCAGGTGGTGCATCTTAAGTGTCGTGTTCTCCTGAATCCCAGAGAATGAGGGGGTGTGAAGTCAGGGCTGTCCCAGCTGGGAGTCCTGGGCCCCAGACTTGGATGTGGAGGGAGGAGGCTTGGACCCCACCCATCCCAGGGAGGTACTCTGCACCTGACCTTTTAGATGTTGAGGTTCTTGATGAGATGGAATTGCTCAGTGTGTTCTAGCTGCTGAAAAATTAGTTTGAAACCCACACATTTACACAATTTGGGAAAAGCTATATCTCGGCCAGTGTGATTTGCTAAAAGTGTTCTACTGCTGAAAAATATGTTTGAAATCCACACTTTTAGACAATTTGTAGGAAAGCTATACCTCAGCCAATGTGTGTGATGTAAAAGCCAAAGTTCCAGGCATTTCTGAAGTTCGGTGTTGGGCAAAATCAAAGAAACTGATGGTGGTGAGTCCTGGTCATTGAGGGGCCCTGGCTGGGTGGAGCCTGCAGCACAGCCCACCTCTTTGGTCTAGTGGGGGATCCTTTGCCCCATAGGCTGCCTGGGCTGGACTACTGGCTGTGGGTCCCAACTCAAACAGGCCTTGCTGATTGAATGTTCTGGATGCCCAGTCAGGTCAGCCGATGTCAGCATGCTTGTCCTCATAATGGGCGCCATTTACTGAAAGCTCACCTTATTGAGTTACCTCCATGATCCTGTCAATCCCACAGCCACCTTATGGGGGGCTTTAATCCCCATTGCATAGAGGAGGAAACTGAGGCACAGAGATGTTCATGAACCTGCTCAAAGTTGCACAGCTGCTGAGGAGCTGGGGCCCAGGTCAGATGGCCCCAGAGCCCCACCTTTCTAACCAGTGTGCTCTTGGTGGCCGTTCATTAAATATGTGACTACGTAGGGGTTCATTTTTATCCCTTTGCAAGACTTTTCATAATTTTCATAATTCACAGCTCAGGGCAAACAAATCCTTTGTTAGACCTTTGCTCTGATTTTTTTGTTTTGGAAAATGTAGGCACTAAAATTACAGTCCTGGAGCCTGGGATGAAATGCAGTTGTGGGTGTGAGGAGCCCACCTCAGTGCCTGGCTCCGGGTGGGAGCTCTCCACCTGCGGGAAGTCGGGGCCCCTGGGTGGGCTGTACGGCTGTGTGCTGGGTCCCCGGTTAAATGCTCTCACCCTCCAGGGACTGAGCATCTGACAGAAGAAACTAAAGGGATCTGTCTGCTCATGAAATACGTCTTGGCACCTACTAAGCACCAGGCACTGCTCCCGGTGCTGGGGACACAGTGATGAGCCTTGTGCTCATTCCTGCGGGGAAGGCAGACAGTAACTGAGAAAAAGAAAGAAATGAGATACAGTCAGATACTGAGCCATGTTCTAAGGATGAGGTAGTGGGTGACTGGGAAAGGGGCTATTCAAACAGGGCAGTCTGGCAAGGCCCTTGGGAATTGGTGATATTTGAGCTCAATTCTGCATGATGGGAAGGAGCCAGCCACGTGAGGAGCTGGGGGGCAGAGCATTTGAGGTAGAGAGAGCAGCAAGTGCAAAGGCCCTGGGGTAGGAGCAAGCTTGATGTGTTGGAGGAAAGGAACCAGTGTGAAGGCCAACCTGGGGGAGCGTGGTGGGGTCTGGGAGGGGTCAGCTGTGGTAAGTAGCATTGGGACACTATTCTTAGAGCTGTGGGTTAGCGGGGTGGGAAGAGGGGAAGCAGAGGGGCCAGTGGCAGAGACAGGAGACGGAGGCAAAGCTGCTGGGCTCCCCTGGATGCCCCCCGGAGGCGTGAGACTTCTTTTCCACGTGCACAGGGCGATTCTCTCCCATGCTGCTGTGTCCCCTCTGATTCAGCCCCTCGCCCCCCCCCCCATCCTTTCCACTTAAAGAAAGAAAGCATGTAAGTAAGCAAGCTCAAATATTTGCGCTCTTTGTCCAAAACCTGTTTTTCTTCCTCTGTGGGTCAGGCCAAGTGCCAATCAAAGTTGTTTTTCAAGCCTCTTTTCCCTGCAGTAGGGCTGCTGCTTCTCCCCCCCCCCCCCCCCCCCCCATCCTTTCCACTTTCCCGGCTGCCCACAGCTGTGCTTCCACCTGTCTGGGCTGCGGATCCAGCCTCTGTCCACAGGTCTGTTCATCAGGGTGAGGGCAGAGGGTCCCGGTCTCCTCCTTGGCAGGCCTGCCTCCTGAATGTGCTCCTGCCAGCACATTCAGTGTCTCTGGTTTCTTCCATTCCTGGCCTTCCCTCCCTCCCATGCTCTGCCCTTCATCTCCACCCCCTCCAGCTCCATCCCAGGAAATAGCAACAATCTACCATGACCAGCAGAGCCCATCAAACCCCAAGGGCAGAGCCATAAATTTCAGGGACACTGTTGCTTCTGGTTTCAGGGCGAGAAGCAGTGGGTGTGTCCAGGGCACGCTGGGGCTGCTTGCCCCCACTCCCCATGTGCACAAACCCCCGCAGCCCCCTCCCCACCTTATCCCCCTCCGGGCTGTCAACGTGGAGCTGGTGGGCGAGAATCCTGCAGACACGCACCCTGCTGTGTTTCTAGCAAACTCTTCAGTGACCTGCACTTGGATTTCTCACTTTACAATTATCTGTGGCTTAAAAAAGAACAACCTCCCCTGCCCTCCTTCTGCCCTTTGGAAGCTTCTGGGCTGTGCCTCCCACTCATGTCTGGTTTATCCTCAGGGAAAACAAATTTGCCTTTTTTAGCCTAGGAAAACAAAATTTGGGATTATTTGCAGGTTTGTTGCAAATGGCATCATATTATGTATCCTAAAACCAAATAGCAGTGATCTCTGAATTTTCCTTAAGGCTTCTCTGCAGTGGCAAGTAAAGCCGGGGTTTGAGGCTGTCTGCGTTCAAGCCGGTCCGTATTTGTTGAGTGCCTACTGTGTGCGGGGGCTGGGCTGGAGCGTCAGGGATGAGTGGAGAAGACCCAGGAGACGGAAGTCAGAGAGCTCTGTCCTCAAAGAGTGTCCGAGCCTCTTAGGGAGAGGGAGCCAGCACCCTGTCCCTGGGCAGAGGAGACAGTAGGAAGGAAGATACATCAAAATTCTTGTCTGTGGGTAAAGAGTTGAGGTTTTTTTTCCCAATTTTTTTAAAGCTTTATTTAAAAACTCAAAAATGCTTCTAGGGCTTCCCTGGTGGTGCAGTGGTTGAGGGTCCGCCTGCCGATGCAGGGGACATGGGTTCGTGCCTCGGTCCGGGAGGATCCCACATGCCGCGGAGCGGCTGGGCCTGTGGGCCATGGCTGCTGAGCCTGTGCGTCCGGAGCCTGCGCTCCGCGGCAGGAGAGGCCACGGCAGTGGGAGGCCCGGGTATCGCAAAAAAAAAAAAAAAAAAAATGCTTCTAGACATTCCTGGGCATCTCTGTGCTGGCAGGGCCAGGTGCCGGGGGAACGTAGCTTCCCTGGGGTTCTGTGTGTGAGGGTGGGGAGACACTACCGGTTAAGATGACTTCGGGCTCAATTTTAAAAGATATGCCTCACTTCTCTCAGGCCCTGTGCTGGGCCCAGCCTCTGGATTTGCCCCTTCCTAACAGGACAGATCTGGGAGCGTGTCTGGCTTCTGCGCTGGGGAGAGGCCAGACTGGTGGGGGTCGGGGGTAGTTGGCGGCTGGGTGAGAAGGTCACTCCAGGGCAGACACCTATCAAATGTGATAGAAGTGTGAAGGGTTAAACATCCCTAACAAAGACAGAGGTTCTCAACATCCAATTATATGCCATTTGTAAGACAGGCATAAAAACAAACAACTCAGAAATTAAGAATAAAAGGAAATGTATCCAGGACACACAAACGGAAAGAAAGTTTAGAAAGCAGTGTTTATAGCAAACAAAGCAGAATTTGAGGCAAAAGAACATTCAACAGGACAAAGAATTCAGCCTCACTAATAATAAAAATCCCACCCTTAAGAAATGGTTTAACTTATCAAACTGACAAGTATGTTTTAATTATAAGACTTTTATCCTTGAGGGTACAGCCAAATAGACACATGTACTTTGAAGATACTTAAAAGCACTACTATTAAGAAGACAATAGGAAAAAGGCCAGTACAGTAGGGATATCTGTGATGGAATAAAATGTAACCACTAAAAAATATGTTTTAAAAGAGATTTACTGACTGGCAATGTATTTATTCATACAGTCTAAGTAAATGAGGCAAGATACAAGGCGTATGTAGCAGGATCTCAATGTGTCTTAAATAGAATAAACATATGAGATGTTAAAAAGGAAAATCCTCCAGGGGAAGTCTGGGCCCTGGGTTGTGAGTGGGGCCGCTGTGCCC